AGAACCAGTGTAGAAACACAACCGAGAAGGAATGCATAATACGAACACGAGGCATGAGGATCCTAGAAGAACTAAAACCATTGACATGATCTAGAGAATTTCAGACTACCTAACCCCAAATGAACAAATCAACCCAAAAACAAAAAGAAAAACCTGGAAGAAACCCTAGATCTAAACCATATCTACAAATCGAAAATGAAATCGGAAGCAATCTTAGAACCAAAACGAAATCGAAAGAGCAATATAGGAGGAAGAGAAAAGGAAAACTTAACTGAGTGAAGAAAGAAACGTAGAGATCAAATGGTAGCGATGAGAAACAAGGCGAAAGAAGGTCAGCCAAGGCTTGTTGGTTGGTTTTTAAAGGAAAAGGGGGGGAGGGGGGAGTTTGATTGGCGGGTTGGAATTAAATATTTGGGATTAATATGTTCATGTTTGATTGCATTTTTGTCATTTTTTATCGGTGGGAAGTGCCCGCTGGTGTACTCTTCTCCCTTTTTCCTCCTCTCCAAATCAAACCTAGAGTTGGGTTTGAGAAATTTGATGGATAAACTTCCTACAAATACCAGGATGCCAGTATTTGCAACGGAGAAAACACACACATTTTTGAGAAAAACCCAAATTTGAGTTTTTTTGGGTTTTTCTCAAACCCATTGGATAAACTTCCCACAAAGTGCAAAGGAGAATAAAATTCAGTAGAGCTCGGGAATAATTAACTGAGAATGGAAGAAAAATTGAAATACCAGGTTCTCTCTTTAACACTACGCATTTCTTCTACTGAAAAACAATGACAATTAGGGTGATTGGACATATCACTAGATGCTTCATGGTCATGGGAATCATTTATAAGTTGAAGTATCCAAGTACCATCACTTCGATTCTTACCAACAACTTCAAAAGGACAATTTATAGGCCGACTTGATTATTTCCTTTTACAAAGCTCTAATGGAGTATTCTGTCGATTTCCATAGACACCTCCTGTATCACATTCAATGTGCACAAATCTATGCATTTTAAATTTCTTGATGGTTGTTGCATATCCATTTTTCAAATAAAATATGTTAGTGCTTTGAAGGAGATCATCACTAGTTTCAAATGATTTCCCAAATAATTGAGAAATTTCATTT